TTTGGACCTCCTTTCCCCAGGTCTGGAAGACATCTATTATTATTACTTTTATTAGGAGAAGGAACCATTCTTTTTGGCTTAGCATATGTTCATCAGTCATTGTTGCTGTATGAGAAACTTTTTTTTAAAATTTCATAATTGTTTAAATTTACATTGCTCAGCTTAGTTCCAGGCCACAGATCAATTTACAAAGCCCAACACACACAAGAGGAAAAGTCAACTGTAGCTGTGCTTGTATAACTGGAAGCAGGACTGATGTACTTACATAATTATACAAAGTACAAGATGGCAAACATAACATTGGGTTGCAGAAAAATTTCCTATGCTCCCAGTCTCTTTCCAGTACCAGCTTGAAAAACATCCAGCTTTGCTGTGTTTGTTTTTGTGAGTGCCTGAATATCAGCTGTCTCCCTGTTCTGCTGGGGGGAAAACAGCAGCCACTACATCAAGCTGAGAAATAGCTGCAGCAACAAAAAACAAAGCACTGATCAGGGCAGATGAGGTTGAAAAGCTTGCAAGAAAGTTATCAGCGAACATATAATTTCAAGCATTTAGAATGGCTGCTGTGCCACTGGAAATGATAACAAATAGGAAATGGAATCATGTTTCATTTGAGATCTGAGATAACTGCATAATTTCATTTCATATCAGTGCTTCTTTATAGGCTAAAGAAGTTACAGAACTGTCACAGGGAAGGCATTCAAAGCTGAGTGCCCCAACATCCCCCTCCTGCACCTTTTCAAAGCACACAGAGTGAAGCAAGGAGAGAAAGGTCTCATTCCCCCAGACAGCTGACTGCAGCCTATCTGCAGCACTATAGGCATAGTTCAAACACCAGTCCTAAAGAGTTTGGTATCACAAAATGAGTTAGCACATCATTTTCTTCAGGAGATTCTCTGTGCACCTCTCCCATTCCTGATGACGAAAGCTGGAGAGGAACTTTTCACAAGGGCATGTAGTGATAGAACAAGGGGAAATGGCTTTAAATGGAAAGAGGGCACATTTAGATTAGGCATTAGAAAGAAATTATTTACTATGAGAGTGGAGAGGCACTGAAATAGGTTGCCCAGAGAAGTTGTTCTCATCCCTGGAAGTGTCTGAAGCCAGACTGGGGCTCTGAGCAACCTAGTCTAGTGAAAGGTGTCCCTGATTGTGGCAGGGGGGTTGAACAGAGATGCTCTTTAAGGTCCTTTCCAACACAAACCATTCTATGACTTTATGATTCTATGATGACTCATAAGCAGACACCTAATGCAAAAGTCAGGAATGCTTCATTAGTGAAAATCTGTGATCCTGTTTTGCTAACAGGTGAGTCAGATCTAGAAGTCTCTACCAAAGGAATAGATGCTTTGGTAAGCAGATCCACAGCTCCCTGAATTTCAGCGATGGGAACACTTCAAAAAGGAACTTTGAAACTTTATTTCCTTCTGGTTGAGTACAATGTAACCTAGCCATCAGCTTTTCACCCAAGAGATAACATCTAATGCAACTCAGAGACAATCACATTTTTCCTTTATTCCTTGCAAGATCAGATGTACTTAGAAAAAGTAACACTAAGTATTATCATATGTCTGGACACCATTCAAATAGCAGAGGTGAAGTTGGGAATTTTGAGTTGCCAACACATGTAAAACCATTTGGCCTGATATTCTTAATCCTGATTGCAAAATTCAAAATAGTGTAGAGTGACAGGGAGCTGTGGACTGAGAATGGATTTGCTGAGGAATGGTACATGATCAACCAACCAATCCAGTAGGCTTCACCTTAGCCAGATGATTTTTTGAAACAACTGGGTTTGCTGACAAACTAGATCATCACATATTACACTGCTAATAAGAGTCCTGCCATAAATCTTGCATGTTTCTTTGATACTGATGGGAAAGTACATGACTGAGTACAGTCTGTATGCTGAGATTTGGAAATCATACTTGGGAAATACAGTGGGGAAAATGGGAGGGGGGGAAAATTTTACTCATCCCCTCAGTTGACACACTGTTATCTTTCCTTTCTCCAGCTTGCTTGGAAGAGCTTTGATTATATGACTTTTCAATCCCACATTTATACTGCTAAATTACATACAGACCAGAAAGTAGTTGTTGCAAGGTCCTCCTTCCCCAGCAGCATAAGCAAGACAAGAATCCTTGCACACTATCAGAGCCACCAGCACACTGCTATGTCAAAGCAATGAGAATGTGTGAGGATAATGTAAATACTGCTGTATTTATGCAGTCCAGTTAAAAACAACAGCCTCAGACACTGAAAAAATTCTCTCTCCCTTGTCCTTCTTTCAGGGAAGAACATCGTTTGTTGCACAGCATCACCTCATTATCCTCTCTGACTCACCCCAAATGACGTTCAAGAAGTGAAACTGCTTCAGAGTTAGAAATGTTCTTCTTTTGCCACAAGAAATGAAAGCTTCTATCTTCTCTACCAATTTATCCCAGCTGTATTTTGATCTGTGAGTAGATTAAAATAAATGAATCTGCCTGGTCCAAAAGTTGGCAAACTGTTTTGGCACATTACATTTCGTGCAACTTTTTTGAAATTAATAACATGGCAGTCATTATAGCTGGAGTGGCAAATGTGATCATTTCCACAGAATCACAAAATCATTAAGGTTGGAAAAGACCTCTAAGATCATCGAGTCCAACCTATGACCTAACACCACCATGGTACTAAGTGCCACATCCTCTTTCCTTAAACACCTCCTGGGGAGGCGACTCCACCACCTCCCTGGGCAGCCTGTTCCAATGTCTCATCACCCTCTCTGTAAAGAAATTTTTCCTAATGTCTAACCTGGGTGGCAAGTAAAATCTGAAACCACTAGCAATTGAAAACTAGCAAAATACTGGGAAATGCTTTGTGATAATGGAAACAATGAAGAAAAACTTCTTTGTTTGGCAGTAGACCACTGCCAATTTCTATTTTAGAAAAACTATGGTTACTTTGCCCCTTTTCCTTATATATATTTCCATTTACTGTGTGATGTATAAATAACAGCTAATTTTACCAAGATACATATATATTTGTATTGGGTGGATTTGCATTATTTGTGCCATGGTACCATTTACATGCCAATATCATGTGCTACATGATTATGTCAAGCATTCTGCCCCAGAAGTCATTATCATCTATTTTACAGTTTACTGACAAGTATCATCACAACTTCTGTTCTACAACAGACTATGGGTCATTACCATTTTGGTCCCTCCTTCATATTAAGTACCTGCAGGCTAACAAGAAAGCAAAACCCTCAGGAGATGCAGCTATTTTTAAGAGACTAAACATCCAAGACTGTATATTTCCTCATATTTATTTTGCAACTGTATTTTTCTAAAACTTATTAAAATAGAAAAGATGCTCATCTGATTTATCATACAAAGAAAATATCAATAATAAAATAAGTAATAAAATATCGAAAATATATGAAAGCACCAAAACATTAAAATATCCATATTGGCAAAGACTCTAAGAATATATTTCTTGCAATTTTACAGTAAAGTGCTATTCAATCCACTCAAATTAAGGAATCAGCATTTTAATAGTATGGGTATTATTACCCTAAGGTTACAAAGTACTTTGTTACCTTTCTCAATAAGACAATAACCCATTCTGTTGGAAGCAAAGCATTTGAGTTGCATTCACATGAAAATAACCCAAGTAACAGCTCCATAATAAGTAGTAAACAACATAAATTGACAACTCATTAAGAAAACAAAATACTGAGAAACTAACTGAACAGAAATGAGATTAGTGAAAAACTAAGAAAATGCAGATGTGGGAAACCATTGCATAAATTAAGGAAGGAAAGAAGACTGTGCAGCAAACACTTCTGTAATTTTGTTTTTTTACATGGTACTTTTTTCAGTAATCAAATTGCTGGCTTTGTTAGTTAATCTGTTTATTAATGCATTATTTTAAACTGCCCTTTTCTATTTCCTAGAAATGATCCTACATCACCAACACACTGTAAGCAAAAAGACAGAAGCAGAGTCTGACCTTTATTTTTCCTCGATAATCACTTCTCATCTATTGAAGTTAACAGACAAAACTAAAAGATCTGTTACAAAGCCAAGTTGTAGCAAAAATTAATCCTAGTAAGGAAATTATTTTAAATTTTTAAATCTCTTTAAGAGTGAAAATTTTAAATGTATGAAAGATACCATCAGTCTCCTTTTAAGTTTTGATAATTTTAATATACATATTTACAGCAATGAGTACACAGAAGCCTTGTCAGTAAAGTTCTCATTAGCTTCATATATCATTTCCACTAGTTGCTGTGAAATGGCAGATATAACACCATTGTGTTGCATTCCACAGTACTTAATCTTCCTGATTTGACTTGCTTTTTTCATGAATTCTCTAATGTAACTGTATTGCACAACTCAGAGTAAGTTCTTACATTGACTGTCTAATAGGCTTTTCATGAACCAATATGCCACCACAGTCTAAAAGTCAACTCTCACACTCCTTCTGCAATGTGAAAACAAGCTTCTTCCAAAAAAAAAAGGAAAGAACAGAATAGTGTTTTGTGTGTTACTTTGTAAGAAATATTTACAATAACTTTGCATTCAGAAGCACAAAAATAAGGAATGAAAGCAATGAGCCTGAATTACTGAAATAATTACAACAAATATCCTCCTTTATATGTGCATGTCCATAGATTATATTAAAAAACTGCCAGTACTACATCATTTCTGTAAATTTTCCTGAATGAAAGGTTAACCTTTAGAATACACTAAGTTGACTACTTTCATGTTCTGTGAGAGTAATTCAGAATGTAAGAATGAACATGATGAAAAGAAATTAAATACTGTATTTAAAGTAGTTGAATAGTTCAGTAGTTTTTATTGAGTTGTACAGTGAAAACAGGTCCTTGCTCTAACATCTTCTTCATGCCCTATTCTAAGTATCAACTTGCAGTAAATTTGTTTGCTGGTCATTCATTTCTTCTTTTTTTATTTTGTTCAGCAACCTGTATCCTTGTTCATTGCTGTAGGCTCACAGACCTCGTTTTGGCAGTTCCAGAAACTAAGTGCAAAACTGCAATCTCTTCTACTCCAATGAATCATGATAGGCAGCAGCACATCCAGGGCACAGCAATTCTTTTTAGCTTCTCTGGTCATATGCCAGGTAGAAGCAGAAGGCAGCAACAGTAACTGATAGCAATGATATAACAACTGACAACTGCTGGAACCAGAGGCAGCGATTCATCTGCTCTTCAAGTCTTTTATTAATTTGCAGTAAATGAGTTAGCTGAAAATAGAAATAGTTTCATTAAATTAAAATTACTGCACATGAAAGCACTTGTTGATTTTGAGCTACTTAGGCAATAAATATAAGCACAGAAAAGTAAAAAAACCCAAATACCTTTTCTATCACTACATACTTCAGGAATCTGTTCCACTAAAGGAGCTTCAAACCTTAATTTATGGATAACCCATATAGCCCACATCAAAGTGACATCTATACTCTAGGAAGCAAAAGACACCACTGAGGCTCATTGATACCCCAGATCATATATATGTGTACACCCAAGAGGAATGAGCAAACTCCACTGAAAGTAGTATGTTATGAAATCATTATCATTCAACAAAACAGTTAAATCACTATCTATGACTTAGTACTTTCAGTTGCTGAGCTTTTCAAACAGTACAATTTATGAAGTATGATAAAGGTTCAGTAAGAATTCTTTTTATCATATTTTATAATTTTGTTGAATATTCAGCACAAAGGAATACACTATTACCTGTATATGTAAATCTTCATTGGTTTTTGCTGGAATATTAAATGCATTCTCTTTAAATGTCAGAGAGGAAGGCTTACTACTTTCTGTGACATGACACCTGAGCCTGTGAAAAGGTAACAAAAATGCACACCAAAAATCACAAATTTAGTGCAACATTGTATAACTAACAGTAAATAGATCATCCAACAGTTTATTTTATGCTCTCTATTATCTGTTATGGTAGATTAATTTTCAAAATTACTATTACAAGGACAGCAATAGTCATTTTCTCAGCCCACCAAATATACCATTTAAAGGCAGCTCCAAAAAGAAACCCCAAAACCCACCCTCAGCCTACCAAATACACTATTTAAAGGTAGCTCCAAAAAGAAACCCCAAAACCCACCAAAAAAACCCCAGGAACAATCCAATGCAAAAAAAAAGATAAATTACTTTCTTTTAAAGTTGAAACAACATCTTGATATCATGGCTCTAAGTCTTCAAGATGAAAAAGAACTACAATGATCTTTTCCTAAATATGTACAAGTAGATGTGACTGGATGAGAGAGAAGAGTAACAGGCTTATTTTAAAAACTGTATGGGGAAATGCATTTTCCTAGTGATACTTTTTCATCATTAAATACTGAAAATACAAATATGAACCTGTGATAGATATTACAGAAATTTTCTACAAAATTATGACTTTGCCTAGCAGAAAGGGAATATTTTTTAATATCATCTAGAGAACAGATTGCATTTAATATGTCTGCTGCCCTTGATTATTTTTAGAAAACTCAAGCACACATTCTTATTAAAGAACCAAACCCCCTACTGTGCATGTGTATTGTCACATCCATTCACATTTTTTCCACTCAACTCTTAATCAGCACAAGAGCAGCAACAAAAGAAAAGAAGAACATGTGCAGAACACCATGATACTTCATGTATTAAAACCACATCTAATTAGTTAAAACAGAGCAAAAGCCTCAGCAACATAGTTCAGTCAGAAAGCACAGAACTGGGTTTGGAGAATCCTTCATTGATTACGGTATTCAAGTGCTATAAATCACCTAAATAAAAATGGCTAAAAAACCCCACCCTGTCAGCAGAAAAACATATGCTCACCTATGCTCCATCACTTTGGTCCTAGGGACTTCTTTCCAAAACTGAGCCAGTTCTGGTACACCTCCTCCAGAAGACTGGTCCATCTCTGCTGCCATTATAAGGAACCGATCCTGCAGAGAAGCTGCAAAACCTGCCCTCAAAGAAGGAAAAAACCCAAAGAAGTGTGCTTAGATAAAGTGACAATATTACAAAGAGTATAGAAGAATTTTTGAACAAAAATGTTATAAATTGAGAGCATGTTTATTGCAGGACACCAGACAATGATTCACTAGAAATAAAAATAATCAAATAATCCTCTTAAGATCAGTAATTTTGATTAGCTTTTTCCCAAAATTGTATTTTAACAGAGCTAGTTTCATCTGAACAATTCAAGGACAAGCAGAATTTTGTAAAGAATGAATTCTCCAGCAAATTCACCTGTCTTTGCAACAAATTAGGAAACTGATTTATTGCAGATGAAGTCCCACTGTAACAGTGAAGGAGTTAGACAGCTGCCACTGAGACTTCTTGGTTTTTAAGACAAGAAACAGAATGGGCTACTGACAACAGCTGCTTACACCTAAGTGGAGTAGTAAATCAGTATGGGCAGCTACTCAAATCCTTTCTGACATTCATGTTTTTTAACAAATAGTAAAATTTTCATATAACAGTCAAGCAGACAGGGGTGTCAGTCAGTGTTACACACCAGCAAGCACACACAAACATCAGTATCCAGAGCACTGGTCTACTAGGAAAATTTGTTCATACTTACAAATTCTATTGTAAGGTTTTACTTACCACCATGAAGAGAGACTATTATATCCAGTGATGTGCCAGGTTCACAGCTGCTGTTACTGGGTTTAACCCTGTATTTTTCAGGAGCAGTTGTTCTCACCTGCAAACAAGAAATACCAAGCAAGCACACAGTAAGTGCAGGCACAGACTGCCACTGCTTCATAACCTCCCTCATTCTGTAATAACTAAATCCCCAAAAGCTTCAGTACTAGGACAAGTCTCTAAAATACATTATTTTGCAGGAGTAATGACTCTGGTATTTCACTTTTTCCTCCCACTCAACCACTTATCTTTCTTTTCTTGCGTTTCCTATTTTTCTCTTCTACATATGTATTTAAGAACACTCAAGAACATCAAACAGACTGTTACAACTGGTAGTTTTAGTTATTTGACTGTGCAGAGAATACAATAGATGGGAAAAAAACATGTATCAAGATGAAAGCAAACTCAGTATTTCTGCAGCAAACATAACTGCATTCATTCCCTTGATGGTGACATTTGTAGATGGACCTGCATCATTTTGGAGCATTACTAGCTTCCAGTCAATGTTTAAAAAGAAGTAAAATTCTAAAAAGATGACTTTTCAATGCTCAAGCCTTTCTTTTTCAGAAAGTATTAGACTCTCACTAAAAAAGTAACCATCACTATAGGTCTCTTTCAGTCAATGCTACGAAGATTTGATTACTGACTATCCCCTTTTGAGGTGGTACACCGTCGGCATAAATTCAGCCACAAAATGTCTTTGATCTACTTCAAACATCATAACAGAATAAAAAACTTTGTCTGTAAAGTAGGTTTAATAGTATTTCTTTCTCCTTACGTGAAACAAGAAAAAAGTTACACATTTAGTAATGGAAACCAGGCCACACATAAAACACTTACTTTAAAAGCCACTACGTTTTTAGTGACATTTGTGAGAACTATCAAACATTTTTTGTCTCCGGTTTCTTTCGATCCAAAATATAGCTCTTCTGCTGGGCTAATAAGAAATGTAAAAAGAATTAGTTTCTTAAAATTATCTTGATGACAAATCATATTAAAAAACTGGCCATACCTATAGGAAAATAAAACACTTTCAACCCTGCAGCTACAGTCAGTGTAAACAGATTTTCATCAAAAAAGCTGTGAAACCAAAATGCAGAAATGTGGTAGTGAAGCTCAGGGTTGACTCATGACAAGTGGAACTAGCTGCTGCAGCCAATTGCTGCCCTTGACTTCCTCCACCCGGAAAAGTGTGACCATCTGCGACAGCAGGAACAGCCAACAGAGATACAGAGTCAGCTACTGCACCTCTGAGCAGCACCTTAAGGGAAAGCACCACATATTTTAATTTATGCTCATTTTAATGAACATAAGGTATCACAGACAGAGTCTGATATCCACCTCATACATCTATGCTTGGAGTGAATATAGTGCACACGTAAGAGGAGAGGGTAGGTATCTGTGAGTGGCAATCATTTAAACCACTACAGCTAAGTTCACTTGTAGTTATGAGTCAGTCTTCACATACTTGTGGTGTCACATGCATAAATAAAGTTATTGCTTGTTTTTAATAGCCTTGTGCAATTAGGAGTGTCATGCATGAACTATTTTAAACTGCATCAAACTAACACAACTCATTTTGGATAAGCATTCAGATGAACATTACCAGGCCAAAGGTAGGGCATGCTCATGTAATTCAAGTTGAAAGGAAACTTGAGTAACAAGTGAAAAACTTTTCTTTCAATATGTCACATTAGGAGCACGCAAAGAACTGCTGTACTACGCAGTACTATAAAACTGCATATTCTTTTGACATAAAGTCTTTTTTTAAAAATATGCTTTTTCCCCTTATCCCCTTTTGTAATGCCAATTTCACATTAGTTTGACCTCCTCATCAAAAGACCTTCTTTCATCATACCAATCCTTCTTTTTATCTCTCACTTAAACCAGTGTATTAGCTGAGAAGAAAACCCCTTGGTGCTGTAGGATAAGCCCAAACACCCATGCTAGAAGGGGATTCCAGTGGTGATTGTGTATGTAGGGGGTGCCAGTGTTTTACAATGGATTAGACAGTCCACATGACAAGAGCAATTTTTTTTTCCTTTTTGATGGGGAAGAAGGAAGTGTGCCAAATAAGGCAAAACCCAAGGAACTGATGGGTTTAAAACAGTTTCATAGGACAATTCTATCTCCTCCTCTTGGTATTTTTTTCATTTCCAAATTCTCAATTTAGTTGACCAACATAAGAGAAAGGAAGGATTATAGCTACAAAGTATTTTGGCTATCTCAATACTGTATTACTGCAGCTGTGTCTTGCAGCAATATGAACCATAAATGAGACAGGAAAACATTAACTTGCATCAAAACAAGCCACAAAAAGAGATCAAGGAAAGGAACATTCTGCCAGAGCATAATCTTTCTCGTGCTACCATCAAATGTGGCTACTGATCAATGAGGGGGGGGAAAAAAAAAAAAGAAAGAAAAAAAAAGGCTTGGGAGCCACTGCTGTATAGCTCCTGTCTGTGAAATCAAGCAGTCCCAGCTGGGGGTGGGTGGTTTCTTTAAACATACCCCCAAGATTTTCAGTTTTTACAGAAACATTACTTTCTTTACTCTGATGTGTGACATAACCACTTCAGCTCATACTAGAAATGCTCATCTCAAAACACACCACAACGTGAGCTGTTCTTCAGCCAGGCAGTGCAAGTAAACTGCTGCTTTTTGCTGTGTCAAGTAAGTTTGTTTATTGAGGAGGAAAGTTGGAAGTCAGACTTTCATGTAAAGTAGGCAAGGCAAATCCAATAGCAGTTGCAATGAGTGAGATCGCTGACTACAAATACAAGACAGAGAAGAGCACAAGTATCCAGCTTTGGTCCATGATTTCATGGTGCCAGACCTGCAGTGCCTCAGCTTCCTGGTCAGGCTCTAGGCTGCTCCTTCACGGGGCAATGCTGGGATCAGTCAGGATACAAGTTAATCATATTGACAGAGCTGCTAGTCTCTGTGATAGGTGCCTGCAACCAGTTAAAAATGGCACTATATATTATCAGTTCAATCAACTTCAGTTCAGTGGCCTGAGAATGATTACAGGGAAATAAAAACTAATTCCAGCTTCTACAGAGTTAGAGCATTAACAATGAGCAACAACTGTGCTCAGGAGCTTACTTGAAAAACAAAACAAAACAAACAGCAAGGACAACAGAGACACCAGTATTTTATTTTCCATGACAGCAAGACTACAAGTATTAAAACCCCTATACTTGACTAAGTTTACTCTTCCATGTAATTTACATGAACTGCAACACTTCTATTCAAGGGCAGAACCTGAAATATTTTAAGAGGAAAAAAGTGGTACAGTTTGTGTGTGGCATCTAGGTGTTGTTTGGAATTTTTTCTTCTTGTTGTTTGCTTGTGATTTTTGCCCCTATTTTAAAACTAAGAAGTGGATTGAAGAACACAGCTGCTTTTGTCATAGGGACAGAAAATTTAAAATATTCTTTTATAATCTCAATTCTGCAGTCTACGCCTGCCATAAAAGAAACTAAGTCTATACAGAGGAGGTTTCTTCATTTCAAAATCAGGAAATTTTCTGCATAGAAAATATTTTTTTATGCTAATGAGCATGTCATTATTCAAATATTGAGTACAGCACTTACAAAATTAGCTAAGGAATTACCTATAAATTAGATATTTTCTTCATTCATCTAATAGCAAACTGGAAGTGAAAATAAAAGTTAACATCTAAATCAAATTCTAAACAAGCATCTTAACCTGAAAGGCAGTGAAAAGTAATATTGGCTAATTGATTTCTTTTTCCTAGCTTAATAATAAAACCCAAATTAACTGCAAGATGTAAGCATCCTCGATGACAAAACCTTCTGGGCAGATATGCCATTTATATAGAGCACTTTCCACACAAAATAAATTGGACCCATTCATTAAGTTTAATTGGTGCAAACTACCAGTCTAGATATTTATCCCATCTTGAGCTAAAAGAATTCAAGCAAGATTTAACAGTGAAAGCTGTCTTAGTATTGTTTTTTCTTAAGCCGATGCAATCAAACAATGTCAAACTACTGCCCTCATTACAGATAAGCACAGGTTTAACTAAGTCAGACAGTTTCTCAATACAAATGAAATGCTTCTACAGTTCTGTGAAATGTACACCTATTACCAAAAAAGCATGCCAACGGTGACACCAGAAGAGTCCCTAAAAATATCTAAACCCAGAAAAATTCTTTGAGCTTTACAAAAATAATTCTTAAAAAAGATATAACTTGTTTTCCTCTCATACTCTTTAAAAAATGGTTTATTTTTAAAACCAATTCGTTCAGTACTCAAGTGTCCAAGGCACATTGCAAAAAAAGTAAAAAAAAAATTAATGAAAATTATTATTACCTGATATGTAATAAAGGTCCTTTAAAAGTGGTTAATGCTTTCTTTGCATTTTTTGGTTTGACGTCTGTTTTTTCACTTTCCTCTGATTTGGCAATTTGTTCTATAGAATTCATCTGAGTAAAAATGGTAGTTATAATGATTAACTAGAAACCTGGATTACATATTACAGAATCATGCAGGTATTTCAAAGAGTATTAGGTGGCTTATTTCAACAATTTATATATTACAGATCAAGTTTAATATGTATTCATTCTCTGAAGCTGCTTGAAGTCCACTGAAAAAACACATTCAACATGCATGAAACAACTTCTGCTTTGGTTTTTTCCATGTATTTTCCTGATGCCCGAGCTGGTTTTGGAAAACTCCAGACACACTAAGTCATAGTCTTAAATATCTGAAATACTATAAAGCACTGATGTTATTCTTCCACTGCAGAACTTGTCAATTAAAACAGACACCCCAATACAATCACTGCAAGACTGAGCAGAAGACACATTAACAATTCCACACTTTATTGTATTGCAGAGTTGCTAAACATATCTTCGTGGCTTTTAGATGAAACTCTGAAGTACTGCAGAATATAACAAAAATAATCCTGATTGAATTGGTGCATCCAGAACTGCAGATATCTTAGGTTCTGGGGTTTTTCCTCTATAACATGCAGAAAATACATGTCAGCAGACCTGGACATCTTGTTAGATAAAACTCAAAATGACCCAGTCTGCAAGTGTGGAAGACATAAATAGTGACTGAAAAAATTGGTGACATAATGATACAAAATCAATGACTGAAGAGTTTGCTTAGCCTCCTTTTTATTCCACTTTAAACACAGAGAAAAGACAAAGAGAATTCAGTTCATCTGAGTCTGAAGTATGGGAATGAAAGGAATACAAAATTTTCTATAAAATAGGCTTTATAAAAAGAAACCACACACCACTTTATATAGTTGCAGTAAAAGGTCACTTTTGGGCTTTGTTCTACATAAATTACCAGAGAAAATATTACTATAGAACATATAAAAGGTGGAGGCATCTACAGGACAGGCACTTACTAACCAAGTTTATCACTCATTGTTCCCTGCACTTTGTGGACAGATATAGGTCCTCCTATGGGATAAGAGGAGGCTACCATATAAAAAAAATTAAGTCAGATAAATTCTTAGTGGACAAGAGCTTGAAAATAAAGACTGATACTGCAGCAGATAATGAAGAAAATGCTATCTCATAGATCCCTTGAAAATTTGTTGGTTTGAGAGCTGGCCTTAATTAAAAAAAATAGTCAAATACATATGTATTTCGATATATACATCAATATATATCAGTCAAGGAAAAATAATTAACTTAGAAATACTCCCTTATTGTCTCAGAATACTTGGCATTTCTTATTTCTAAAAAACACCTTTTAGAAAAGAACATAACATTGAAGTGGCAAACAATATGGTACTTGCTGTGGAAGAAACACCAGGTATTATTTGTAAATATGTGGATAGCAAGTTGGAGAAAAAAACAATAACCTGCTTTTTATAGAAACAGTACCAACAACAAGATTTGGTCTGAAATTTTAGAAGTATATTAAGTAAGGCCTTACAAGTGCCTTAAGGCTAATCGACACATGATGAGCGTAAAATTGATTAGCAGCTTGATTACACTGTATAAAAGAGAATAATTATTTGCTTTATGGTATTTCAGGGGTGAAAATAGTAAAAAAAACACTCAACAAAAAACATTAAGTAGAAAACAAAGTCAGGCAAGTAAAATAAAAACCCACAAACACTGAGGCTATTAAGCACCAAAGCAACTCACACACTGAACAGGAATTCTCCATGTCTGAGAATCATAGCTTGGAAAAAGTGCTACAAGCAAAATAAGCTACTGAGTCTAATGGTCAGAAGTCACCATGGTTACAGAGTGCTTCCTCTTGACCTTAAGGTCCGTGAAATTATCTTATTTTTGAAAAGCTAGCCAAGTTGCAAAGAACAACTGGACTATTTAGTGAGCTGTGTGTTTCAAATTATTCTGACATAAGCTTGAAAAAGTAAATGGAACTGAAAGTGTAAATATTCTACCCCTTTAAACAGAAATTTTGCAATTCATATTCCAAAATTAATTATGGCACTGAAGGGGTGAATTTCAGATTTTTCCTACTATTTTCAAGAGCAATATCCCCAGTGACTATTCTTCATATTCCTAAACATCACTTTCATATGAACTTGTATAAAACAATGCCTTTATTTCTAGATAAACAACATAGAAGGAAGATTATGTCGTAAAACATGACTGATGGAGTAGGGCTGCAATTTCTCCTGAGACTAAATTGAAAACGTTTATATGTTGAGATTTTATCAATAATTTAAGAAGACAAATTCACATCCAGTGAAGTATAAATATTTAACTTAATATTTTCTCATGTACACACTGATTTAAGCATCTGACAAAACCAGATGTATTTCAAAAGGTATACCATTAGATATTCCAAATTAAAAATAAATCAACTAGAAAGACAACCTTTGAAAACAAAACACAAACTTTTACATTTTACTGTACAACTCACTATATTCCATGAGATAGACTAAATATTGGTACACATTTTACTCATTCTTAACCTGTCTTCATGGACTAAGAGCCAAGGTTGAAACTGCAAGTATAATGTTTCAGTTTTACTGAGTTCTTTTGTCAAGCTGGAGGACAGAAAAATGTTAAAAAACATTTTAACAATGCAAGCCAGAAAAGTAATCAAAATTGTGTGCCTCTTGTACCACTTTGTAACCATTTAACTAGCCTTGCCTAAATCTTCAGATTTAGATACCTTGGTGTCTGCTTCTAGCTCTTCTTTACTTTCATGCTCATCTTCACTAGTAATGGGCCCATTTTCACATAAAGGAGTTTGAAAATCATCATCAACCAATGGAGGATAACTGTACTTGAAGGAATCCTAAAAGATAAGGAGATTTTTAAATAAATAACTGGTTATTATGAGGATAAGAAGTGCCTTCTCTAGGACTTTTTATGGAAATACATTGTTGGTTTCACATTCCTTTTATGTTTCACTTATCCATTTTAAATTGCACCCCTGTGCAGAAAGCTGACACTTACCAGTAGTTTGTATTTTGACACCAATAGACAAATAAATACAGACACTCAATGAAGCCATTAAACTGGCACTGTTATTTTATCATCACAGCAGAACTGCAGAAGATGGTCTATCAAGGATCAGCATTCAGTCTTAATGCTGAAGTTCTCCTCTTAGTTCTAGAAAAAGTGGTTTAAAACTCATGACAGCTATTTCTAAAAATATTCCAACAATGATGAAAAACATCAGTTGTTCCTTGTATATTAGTTTCATAATTGCCAGTTTAAAAACGGAATTAACAGAACCCGAAACCACGAAACAATGCTAAATAATCCCTTCAGTTTAACCTAGTGTGTGGAGCTTTGTCATATCCTACAAGACAGACCTCAACCTTTGGAATGCCAAATCATTTTAAAGACCATATTTAAGACAACTGAGTAATGCAGAAGCAGAATACTGACATTCTCAACGACTCTACAGTAAAGGTATCTTTTCTGTTGGAAGACCAGTAAAAAAAACCCACAACTTTTGCTAACTAGAAATTCTCTTACCATTTTCTGTCAGAAACAGTGTTTAAACAGGGATGTCAGTTTTAAACCCCAGGTAAATGGAATTAGTCTGTCAACTTTTCAAGTGGAGAAGAAAAATAACCTAGCTTTGCCTCCTGTGAGGCAGACTTGAGCAATGCCCACAGCTCCCAAATGCTGCTTCCAGCAGGGAGTTAGAAAAGGTGTTTCAAGAGAGCTCTCCATAAGCAAGTACACTTCTCAAAACAAGGAATAATGTGATGTTAAGAAGAAAAGGGCAAAGTCTTAGATGGAACCATTCAAAGAAATCACAGAGAAAACAGCATACTTCCTGCTAACCTATAATCAAGGTCTAAGCCTCCTCTATTCTTCAGGCTGTAGCAACAGTCAGACCTTTAGGTGAATGAAACAGGTATCCATTGGCTCAAACAATATCCTATTAAGGGCCTGAAGAACAAGCTTTAAGTATCAGCTACAGACTAATTCACTATTAGAAGAAAAGATTCCAGACTGTCAGAAATATTACAGTAGGCTTGCACAACACTGACATCCCCCATTTGTAAATACAAGACAGAAATACCCAGTTCCCCTTAGCCAAACCGATAAAAAGCCTTTTCACTCCATTTCAGCATATGATGAAGGGCACATGACAATGTGACCTTAATAAAGGGAAGTTAATTTTGCTGCACACTTCACTTGACCTTGTGAATCTATGATGTTGAATAGCTTCAGCAGCTTAACAGAATCTCACCACTGGGAGCTTACACGTGGTAAGACCCAGCTCTTCAAAGATGGATCCTAGTAGGGGACAGAGCAGAACGATGACTGAGAGGCTACTGTATTGAATATAAAGATGCACAGATATGCTGTGCTCTTCACTGGCATTATGCTAGTTGCAAATATAAAGATCTGTTACTAAATGTGTGGAAATCAAAGATGACAGCAAGAAAATTGGAAGGAGGCAAAAAAATCCCAAATCCTCACAAACAAAACCAAACACTTGAGTGGAGAATGAAGGGAATTAATTTGTGCCAGTCAGATACTGTCTTTAAAAAAAGCAAGGCCTGACAACACTAATAATGGTGAATGTACTCTATCTTTGTGCCTCAAGAAGAGCCTTAATCACATATCAAGAAAAGTTAAATTCTGAGAAAAGGTCATTAAATTGTCTGTTGTCTGGCCACTGAAAAACTTGCTGTCAGAGATGCAAAGATACTGCTTTATTGAAGGTGCACTGAAAAAAATCTTTGGAAGAAAGATGATTTTGGAGTCTCAGTATTTCCTAAAACTTCTTCCAAATTATGACAGTTCTGAGGTTAAAAGCTCAAAACACTCATTAAATGGCTAAATACCGAAGAAACTCAGTAGGCATAATGAACTCTCAGGTAAGATGGTCTAAAACGTAGACAGGAGATACTCAGCTCTAAGGAGAACAAACACTTGCCCATCTATTGCAACAACAGGACAATACCATAGGAGCCAGGCCCAGAGCCACTGCTCAGCACCACTTAAATCCTTACTGAAGCCACTTCAGACAGGGATTGTGAAAAGTGAAACATGTTGTGCAAAGTACTTCTGCTGTTCTGCCCTTCCGACTGCACTAGAAAAGCATTTTGGTTCTGTTAAAGTGATGCTGCTTCTACCATACTCTTTGGAGCTCTAACATACTCTTTGAAAAGAATCTTGTACAGCCATGTCTTAAAATGCAGCCCAAGAGACACTAAAGAAGAAATAACTACATATATATAACTGGCTTTACTGTATCATAGCTTTGAAACAGGACAGCAACTCTCAGAGGGCCATGAAACCTACTTTGTGTTCACAGAACTTGTTTCATAAACCAACACAATCTCTAATTCATCAGGTAGGGAAAATAGTAGAAGGAAGAATGACACTTTAAATAGATTTTTTTTTTTTAAGAAGTCTGTAAAACTAAGTGGTTTCCAGTGACTTGTAAATGGCTGAATGATTCAGAAAAATTATTTCTGTACTTAAAACTGTCAGATACCAAATCCTCATGAAGTTAACCTATTTTGTATCAATGTGATTTACAAATGAACATTGGCAAAAGAATTTCAAGAAATCTCACATCCGTGAAGCATCAATTATGTCTCAATCTATCACAAAGGGACCATGAAATGTTAAAATACTTACAGTTCCACCCATGTGAGGTGGCAGATACTCTGCACCGATGTGTTCCTGAACATCACTCCTATTTGTGAACTTCAACATGCTTATTGCATCTGGGCCAAGCCAACCCTTTACGATTTTAAAAGCAGCTTAAAAAAAAAGTAACAAGAAAAGGAAACAAAAGGGATACACAAGTTGTCAGGAAGATTTTTTTTTTTGCTGTATTGTTTGTTTTATGGAGGTTTTTTCAGTGTATTGGTAAACCTTATATAACACAAGAGAGCTACATCCCACAAGATATTGCAGAATCTCCTCTGAAAGTATCTATTATAATAGAGATAAACAGTGCAAAGAAGAAAGAAGTATTTAAGGAGAAAAGATTTTATGGACAATCTTTTCTATAGATGAATGCAGATAGAACACACACTTTGATAGAAAGAGCATCTTTGATTTAATAAATGACAACTCTGTTGTCTTGGAATTTAGCCCAGGAAATATTGAGGGGGTAAAACCAAGTGTATTTTCAAATCTGAGTGAGGGAGGTTTGGAAAGATAAGCATACCTTGTTTCTAGCTGAAATGCTTTGCTGATTGAAAAGACACTTGCTTAGCTTTACAGAATATTTTTAAACACCATTGTTACTTCAGTGATGGTAAAACCTGAATATACAGGAAATTATAAAACCAGCACAACAACATGTATTGATATAGCAAAAGTAGAGGAATAGCATATTTATTATGCACACTATAATTAGGGATAATTATTGAAGAACACATATCAAAACAATTGTAACCACATCAGTGTGCACTGTCAGGCATCTGTCTCAAATTGTCTATTCTAGTTTTTGGCTGGTTATAAGTGCCCACCACTTGTTGATGATAGGATTAGTGAAACAGCTGGAAACATTCAAGGAGTAAACTATCTCCTGACCTTTAAAAACAACAGGATGAATATGGACTCCATTTAAAGTATGACCCAAAATACAATGCTAGAAGGAAAAATAAAAAGCATGCAACCTTCAAATTGGCAGATTTAAAGATTCATGTTTAACAAATTCCACCATTCAGTTCTATTTACACACAGCAGAAAAGTGCCTCCTATTTATGCCTCTAAATTTCAGAAGTTATCACAATCTGAAAAGAAAAGCAAAAACTAAACCAAACCACAACTTACCATTCATGATCCATGGCATTTCAAATATTACTATCTTTCCTGTAAAGAAAAATAAATAAAAAAAAATCTGAAAAACTCAACACCAAGTGTTATGTATTTCTCTCTTTAAGAGGAAGTACAGCCATAATGTTCATGTAAAAGCAACTACTCATTTTCAGAAACCTCCATGTTCACTTCCCTGTAGAAGCAATTTCGTGTGATTGTTTTTAAGATGTATTAACCTAATGCTATCACTATATAAAAACATTAGCTGCTTAACATAATTCTTACATGCTATTTATAGACTTCCTGGGATATTGCTTTTCTGACATGTTGTTACTAATAAATAATCACCAAATAAGGCAGAGAAAGGCAAGATCTCAGCCTGACCTAAAAAGGCCACTCCTGAACAGAAAAAAGCTTAACAGGTATATTCAGCACCTCTTCTTCACAAAGAAACATATACTGTGAACCTCTGTAAATCCATTTTTCCAAAATATTCATTGTTTTAGCAGAGAAGTTTGAAAAGACTTAAAGTGTTCCAAAATTTCTCTTGAATGTCAAAAAATGAAAAACTATGCTGCACTTGCCTTTAAGTTTGATCAAAGTTTCAAATTTGATCAAACAAATTTGATCAGCAAGCTGAAATGTAATATTCAGTGTTTAAGCAGCTGCTGTACAAAATTTCAATATTCCCAGACACATTTTCACCTAAAGTTTATAACACATTTAAGATGAGCTAGCAAAAACTATTCAGTGCTTGCCTGTCCATAAAAAAAATTAGCAGGCAAGTATGTAGGGTTTTCCAAGTGTGCACAGTGACATGCCATGCTTATTTTCAGAATAAACCATTGCTCTCTAAAATTTCATAGTCTTTGTCCCTTGAAGGCTCCTAACACATACAAACAAACCATCATGCAGGTTTGTAAAGCTTCTACCCAAGCAAAGAGGAAAGGAAAAACCAGTCCAATTCAGTTGCACTACATGCTTATATTAACTTTTAAGCTGTAAAAACCGATTAAAATAAATAAACAAAAATATTACTTCACAAAAAGCCAGTTGATTTTTGATGAATGCAAAGTTTATTTACAATACAAAGTGATACTGGCTTAGGAACACAAAACTATTCTGAATCTGTAACATCCACATGTTCCATGTGAATACCACAGAAAGGACGTGCAAAATAAAGTCATCCCTCCCATCTTCTGTAATACTATAAAATGCTCTTATTACACAAGTCTATGCTAAGATTTAATATACAATACTTACTGAGCAAGTTTGGGTAATAATCTGTAAAACAGCTGACAATAAACCGAACAAAATCCAAGTCCTAAAATAAAAATCACAGCACAAATGCAATGTAAATCAAAACATGAAAAATAGAGGTTTAGTTAAGGCAAGTAATGAATAACACAACATAGTTAGACTGTAATTGAGTATGTTCAAATTTTACATGTACTACAAGCATCATCAAAATGCAATGCAATGCTTTTCACTTCATTCAGCTGTTGTAGGATTGTGGTCAAACTTCACCTCATGAGCTAGGAAAGAAGAAGTCAACAGACCTATGATCTGCACAATAATTTAGGTATCTAAACTACCACAGAGTATCAACAGGATTAAAGGTGTGCAGGAAAGGTAAGCCTTTAGCACTAGAGAAGCTTGACAGATTATCTTAAAGCATTACAAGGAAGAGTACTAAATATACTGAAATTTCCCTTCAATAACTATCCTCCATATTGTTCAATATACTACTGCACTCAGTAGTATATTTCCAAAGAGAAAAAAAAATTATTTTCCTTTCAAGAGAATTTTTGGGTTCAGTATTAGTTTGTAGTATGCAGAAAAAGTGTGGGCAGAGACAGGACTCCAAAGAGCTGCTTCTATCCCACCCATTTTCAGGATGCTTCCATCCAATAGCAACTGCACAGCAGTAGTACAGTTAGGTCTCCATTGCAAAATCCAGGCAGAACAGAACTGACTACACAGCAAAGGGCAAAAAAGGCATTTTATGAAACAGGTACAAATAATAAAGGAAGAGCTACCTTACCACAGTAAGGTACTTGGGTGGGAAGCCTGCCATACTTTCCCCTGTCCTACTAATAGAAGTGACCACTACTACTACTTTCCAAAATAGTACCAAACATTGCTGATTGAGTATCCAGAGCCTGCCACAACAGTAAAAATGCTACGGGTAAGGGACTCCTAGAGTGATGTAAACACACTGTTATACCATTTGTGGACTGAAAAAAACAAGAGGACCACCCACAACTTGGAAGCTTTATCAGTAGCTTCAGTAACTAGAAACTAACTGAGGCCTTGGCATCTTTATAGGCAGAAGACAGACTCTAATAAAAACATTTATCTCAACTGTCTGCTGGTTGTACCAAATGCAATATCTTTCATTTAATAGCATAAACACAGATATTCTCAAGTAATGATTAGAATCTCCATTAACAAGGATGCTGCTATTTTGCTGCCTATCCAAAAGCAACACGATCAGATATTAGAAGGATAGATCCATTACTACAATGAAAGTCAGGAATTAGAAATACAGATTTCACAGACTCCTCAATAACTATATCTATTCTAGTTACCTGTAGCGGTGCAACAAGGAATGAGCTATCAGAACTATCTGTTGCATACCAGTGATAAAAGCTGACATAGAAGATGTCCATAGCAATGGAACAAACAAATGAGGCATACTCTGGAAAAGAACTCAGAAATCCAAATTCTTTCAGGATAAAATTAATCAGTTACTCTACATCCCTCCAAACAGCCATTGAAAAATATTCCTGTTTGGCAATAAATGTACTAACTACAAATCAAGACTGTACAATGTACTTATGGACAGCACTTGCTGACATTGTGTCTGAGTCTCAAAGACACTAGAAAAACGTTGCTTCAGGATATGCCTCGATAAAACCCAAATCAAATCAGTCTTTCCCATCAGGGAAATTATTGCAATCTTTTATTCTTGTTATAGAAAGCCATAGCTCCAGTATTATCTTTAGGAGTATGGACAGACAGCTCTCACTGCATAGATAAGAGCACCAATGCCTTGTAAATCAGAATTACACCATCTTTATTTTTCAAAATATTTTCTCATAAGCTTGTGGTCCTGTTCTGCACAGCTGCAAGGTCCTAATGCAACATTAGCCCTCTTGCTTATACAAGGTACAAACAAGTTTTTGGGATTGGGTTTCTTGTCTGTCCTTTGGTTGGTTGGGGGTTTTTTTGCTTATATTTAACTGCATTATTGCCATACCAACAAAAAACCCAAAACAAAGAACAAGATATAAGTTTTAGCCATTCCTGTAATAACAGGATAGCATGGCACTGGTAAGAAAAAAAGACAATATTCTACAGAAATGCATTTTGTTTTTTAACCTATAGACAACCTGTGAGATTTTTAGTTATTAGACTAAATCTATAAATATGTACTGATAGGCAAGATCTCACTCTTGTAATCTAAACCAGCTCAGCCACCAAATTGAAAGCAAGTTTTCTGTGTGCTGCAGAAGACAAGGTTTAATATGTAACAAAGGATTTTGGAAACTGCTCATGTCATAGGAAAAAGCCTTACATATCACTGATGTCAACAACTGTTAAGTTATTTCCGTGTCAAGGACTGCACAAGGACTTCCCTTTTTCTGGGAACATAGGTTAAATAATTCAAAAAGCAATCAGGAACAGACAGTGAAAATACTTACTATGTGACTGATTCCAGTTTCAGCCATGTCAAATACCACTGTTAAGGGCTTTCCATGCTCTCTCTTGGCATAATGTTCTAACCAAAATGCTACAAGTTTCTTTTTCTCAAATTGTTGTTTAGGGTCTCTTATATGATGCTTCACTTTGAACCAAACTAGTGAAAAAACACACACAAAAATTGAAACAACAGATCCAAACTAACAGAAAACATGAATTAAATAACTATACAGGAAGCACTGAAATTTTTTAATGCCTCTGAGTTTGTATTCTACATTTTTACTGATCTTGTGGCCACTCAGAAAAAACAACTGCATACCTCTCCACAGATCCCCTTTTCCTAGCTCACATTTTTATACTGGAACCTCTTAAAAACTAAAGACACAAGTAATTACACCCCAGAAGAAACACTAAAGTGGAAAAATAGTTTTCATGTATTTACTTCCTCATCTAGGTTATCATTTCAAAATTTCAAGTTAAATCACATGGTCCTCAGACATAGTATTATGCTCAGTATGTATTCTAAGTATTGTTGCAAAATTAATGTTTCTTTTTTCTGCTTAGGTTTGCTACAGCATTGCAGTTGATGTGTTTTGAAAAACTATTTATGAACATTATGAATTCTATAAAAAGCAACAGATCTTTCTAAAATAAAATCAAAAACTCCAGAAGGTGAGCAACATAGCATAAACGAAAGCCCAATATATAACCTCCTGGAATAAAAAAAAAAAAGAGTCATGCAGAAACCTGGTTTTCCATGAAAAAAACACAAGCATAATTCAAAGTAACAGACTTTAAAAAATTTCTGAAGCCAAACTACTGATTATAGAATGAAGTGATAAAAGAAATACTCAGGGCAGTAATGTGAAGAGCAGCCTTCATTTTCACTACCTTTACAATATCAAAATTAGAAAAGACTGAAAATAATTTTAGATATACTCCTAATATTCTCCTCCCTGCAACTCGGAAAGTCTTTGTAAAAAACAATCTGCTTGCACAGGAAAGTTAAAAAACTTCATTACAAATAGAGCAAAAATTTATGATTTTTTAAAAACTGCTGACAAAGTTTCCTTTTGTGATGCAAAGAAATACCCCTAATTACCAGCTTATCATTTGCAGTAAAAACAGCTGCCAAGACATACCTACTTCTATTCTTAAAACACTAATTTTTCAAAGAGATGCTAAAACACTGGAAACAATGATCAATGACTGAAAATGTTACATTCTGTATAACTTACATAATTTATAGCCCTCTTTATCGTATCCATGCAGAAAGAGAGCACCAGTTTCAAATAACCATTTTGGAAGGACAGATTCTGACAAGTCTGCAAAGCCAAATGAAATATTATTTCAGTAATCATACTAATAATCACATTGTAACTTAACAGAAATCACTAAAAATCTGGAAGTCTAGTGGCAAAAAATAAAAATATATTTATAAACCACTTTCCCAGATCTTTACTAAACAAATGCAAATATTGACATCAATTGAAATCTTAGGTATCTTCATCCTCTCATGCTATAGATCTATTATATATCTATGATCAGTTCCTCTCATGCTACAGATCTATATATAGATCTATTATATATCTATGATCAGATCTATTTAGGAAGAAATTAAAAAATATATAAGAAAAAAATGCTGCAAATGTTTATTTTTGAGGGAAGAAATTAAAAAACATATAAGAAAAAATGCTGCAAATGTTTATTTTTGAACATATTTGCAGCCCCACCCTTGCTCCACCCTTTCATTTGGATTGAGAAGTCCTGTACATAGATGCTTTAATTTGGATTGAGAAGTCCTGTACATAGACCTCACCACCAAAATCAGATCTATTCTTCCTACTGTGCCAGACTAGTGCTATTACAATGAACAAGGGAGCCCTGTGTGTTGTGGGGGTTTGATACTTGCCTTTTTTTAGGACGCCATTGTAGCAAATGCAAAGAGACAAAACAAGAGATATCTGCCTGCCTTCCTTCCTTCCTCTTACACAACCCTTCCACAGACATATGGAACCACAAAACAGTGAGACAGTACAGGTCAACATAAAAAGCAATAAATACTTTTTTTTTCCTTGTTCAGCTCTCTGTGGTACTTGTAAAACTTTTAGGAAGTACTTAATGAAACTACATATAGAAGTCAGTTGTAGTTCAGCAGCAAAGCAATACACACCTTCAAAACCATTACACAGCACAGCTTACCATTAACTGTATATTCTTTCCTCCACTGAAAGCTTTCATCAATCATCTTTAGAGTATCATCCACAACATCATGACGCCAAATCAGATAGTTTTCAATCCATTTGTCATCTTGCTGAAATCTTTCCACATCTCTAGAATCGTATTTATCTGATTTATCTAGAAAATAAATTAGTGTAAGAATATAGCAGCTGCTATAAAACCATGCAGAGATTTGTCAAGTGTATATATATAAGCATCTACTAGGCAGACAGGATTTCTTGTGCACTTTTAAACTTAAGCAAACAAGGCATAGCATTATAAATAGATTAAAACCATCTATCTGCTCTGATGATATTTAGTGACACTGCAAGATTACTCTCACTAGAAGAATATTTTATGTGATTCTTATTCAAAGAAAAAGCATTAGAAAACTAGAAGGTGCATATAGGACAGGTGCAATTTTCCTAAAACCAGTTTTCTGTAATTAACATGAATTAGTATGTAGTCTAAGAATCTACATACTGATGAATGTATGTTAAACATCACTAGTTCATGCTTGAGTTCTCAAACTTACAGGCATTAGCATGATGGACCACAAAACATCAGACAAAAAATGTTAAAATTACTGTCTGACCATTCACTATAGATAATTCCATTCAACAAAATAGTGTTCTTTAAAGAAATTACACAGTTCACATGTTATAAATTGTTACCCTACAGAACTCAAACTGCACACAACTCTAGAGCAGTACACAAGGCTACACTCTACTACACTAAACTGCTCTTGCATCACATTAGCAACAGGAGAACAAGTTAGCATCCTTTAGGAAGCACTTCAGATGAAACAGGAGCTGTTGCTGCATATCTTTTTTATTTATTTTTCAACAGAAAAGTTTGTAAAATGCCTAAATGGACCTATTTTTATTGTAGATATGCTTAAACAAAGGCTCAGTTTTTAGATCAATGCTCCTCTATCTGAGGATTTGATATAAATGGAATGCACATGAAGAGCCCATGGTAGAAATTGGCTCCTGATAGCAACAGATGCTGAAAAACACCTCTTTGCTAACTACTAAAAAAACTTAAGCTCTTAAGCTATTCACTTACATTGGTGATTACCATGGAAAAATGAAGATTGATTGTTAATAAAACAGATGTTAATTTTCACATACTGGAAAGACCGGAAAGACTTCTGCCAGCAGCAATAAGCTCAAAATCACTACTTTCAGAACCACCATAATTAAACTATTTAGAACTGTGACTGGATGGTTTGGGGATGTGTATTTCAGTCAAACATCTTAACTCTAAGGAAGGTGTTAAAATAAAGAGCCCATTACATTTTGCTAATATTTGCAGTTTTACTGGCCTGCATGCAAAGATATGACCTATTTTACTTGCCTTTCAATGTATACTGTTTTCTGTCACAAATTAGTCAATATAACTGTAAGAATATACCAATTCCAAATGTGTCCATCCAGTAAGAGCTATTATAGTTGCACTCCCCCAATGCATCTTTTCACATCTGACTCCTTCTCACATCTGTTATCTACTGAGTTCCTTCTTTCTCAAATTTCAGATTTCAAATTCCTCCTTCCTTTGATCCCAATCCCACCACTTTACTTTGCTCCTTACACAAACCTTGACTTAAATCCCACTTTTCTTAATCTTAGTCCCCTACTTGCTTCTCTGGCCAAAGGCCTCCAATCCACTAAAAACTCTCTCATTATTTAGGTTCTTTTTCTCATAATTTCCATACTTCCAACAGACAGCTGATTCCTGATATTCTGACTAAGCCCAGTAAAGTGATCAGTCAGCACAAGACTGCTTAACTTATGAGAAGTTTAACTTCTCTGTGGCTCTAGGTCAACCACAGATGGATTGCAAAAATCTGGGGTATTAAACTTTGTAGTCTCAATTGCTCATTGGAAATTTGATTATTCACCCAATGACTTAGGCAGTTTTGCCCAAGAAATGCTAATAGTACGTATTTTCCAGTTGGAATCATAAAAAATTAACACTGAATAAGATTCCTGCAGGGCCTGTCAGTCCTAACTCCTTCCTTTTAGGCAGTTTTGACCAAGAAATGCTAATAGTACTTATTTTCCAGTTGGAATCATAAAAAATTAACACTGAATAAGGTTCCTGCAGGGCCTGTCAGTCCTAACTCCTTCCTGCCTGCAGCAAGGCTCATTTTCAAGTTCAAACAGGTTGTTAAGTAACTTTTTTGGTCATGTTTTGAAAAGTCTACAGGGTAGAATGATCCCACAGCCTCTCTTCATGTTACATGCATTCCAACCCATACTTCCTTCAGAGATCCTGTCATGTACAGCAGTTAAGCTGGCACATCCACAGTCAGCACTGGCTTCTCTTAGCTATGGTACACTGGCTGTTCTGTGCTATGCATTACTCAATATGCTGTACTGGTTATTCAAGCCATACCTACTCACTCCTACCCACAGCAAACCAGGGCTTTGCAAGACCAAAGACTTACTTAACATCAGTGTTACATGTTTCCAGTGCCCGACCCATGTCACTTCACCCTGGTTTGATAATCTCTGACATGCACTAGCTTCCAGCTACGAGTGACCACAGTTAGTCAATCAGCCAAGTATTTTGTTGAGATCAGTCCTATGGATATCCTATTTATGTAAGGGATTTGGGTACCCTGTAAAAAGAAAACCCACAACCAAGTAAAAACTAACAAGGTAACATTTCACACCACTTTCTCAGGCTCTCCTCCCTGCTTTCAGTATCTGAGAGCATGACTGCAAAATGAGTGAATTGTGCCTCTTCTGTCAAACCAAAATTTCAAAACATTGGCACATCATTAAATGGAACAAGCCCCAGAAAATGTTTCTTGGCCACTGAGAACCACTAGGTTCTCTGACTCTGAACCTAGATAATATTTTAAAAAACAGAAATTTAACTCTGTGAATGTTTTAAGAAAATGAAAGCACAATGGAGAAAATGTTTAAGCCAAACTTCCAACAACAATGAAAAGCAAGCTGGATTCCAAGAAAGGGATAGTTGAAAAATATCTCCCCTTTCTTCAGCGACTAAATTCTGAAAAGGCACACTTATTCTGAATTTAGATATATGCTACAGCACGCTCTAAGCCAGGAGGAGGAACTAGTCAAATGCTGCATCCACAGGCACTTGCAGAACACCAGTGTTTCAATCAGGTAAGCTTAACGAGATTGACAGAACAACAGGAGGTACTGAATACTGTATGACTTTTACCTATTTATCCAATTCTTGTTACAAAATAAGTAAAATTTAAAATGAGAACATGGACCCAAAAGAAAGGTGTTTTATCTCACACATAAAGCAGAGTGATATGAAATTGCTGGAGTCCTTTCAATAACGCAGTGATTGAACATGTGTCAATTCAGAGGAGGAAATCCTCTTCAAATCTGTGCATGTCGCATAATTCTACAGACATCTGGAAACTTGTTTTCAAACTATGCTGTGAAATAATCTGCATGTTATATAATTTTAGAACACCTGTGAAACACTTGACTGCAGTTACTGTATTATTAGAAACTTCTGGAGTTAAAACAGACTTAGTTGAAAGAAAATAAGACATTTGGGGTTCTCAACATAAATTTAAACACATCATGTACAACAATTAAGAAGCCAAAAAGGAAACAGAAATTGAGGGGCACCCTAAATGGAAATTTAGATGAAACTATAAACTGAAGTAACTTACCTAAGAACATCTCCAAGCCTATCCACTTAAGATACCTGTAAACATATACTGATGCTTTTCTTGATAGAAAATTAGGTACCTGTTTCTTCACACTTGCAGAACTGCCACTAAGACAAACTTTAGTCACCCTGAACTCAGGAATATGGACGTCTCTGTAATATCATCTCTGTAAGTCCATAAGAAACAGGACTTCCTAAGGTATTTGAAACACACACCACTCTTCTCAAAGGTAACACAAGGAACAGCATTTTCTCCTGTTCAGCAAGAGCTAGTGAAAACCACGTAAGTAACACCAGTGCCAGACTTCTGTGAAACATTTCATTGTTCAGAGGTTTGGAAACCTGGCTGTTCCCTCAGTCCAAGTGATTCTAACCATTCTGTATCACAGAATAGTTCCAGTCAGTGGAAGAGGAAAAACTGGGATACGGCAAGACTTTTCCATTGAACTGGTAAGCTGTGTAGAAACTAAGCAAGACTCAGATCGAGAAAAGCAAGAGAAAGCACAATCTGCTCAGCAGACTTGATATTTATTAGAGCATCAACACCAAATTCTAAGCTATACATGAGGGAGTAGCAGTGACAATAGCAAGAAGAAGCCACAATCAGCCCTCTTTATTCCTTTAGCCAAAAGGCCTTCAGGAAAATTTGAGCAAGCAAGACTGACCAGGTATTCAGCCATATTTTGAAAATAGTGAAATCACCCATTCTGTGATTACCAGCAGACCAATGCTGCACTGTGTTCATGCTTTAGGAAAAATATTCAACAGGAATATAGAAGAAATATTACAGGACACAAAAACAGGCAGCACAGCTAAATCCTACACTATATTAATCCAGAGTTCAGAATTCACAGCCTGTAAGAATGACTCCTCCCTTCAGAACAAACTCTTAGCTAGGAAATGAAGCCATACATAAAGCTAAGAGGGACAGCAACTACATGCTTTTGAATAGAGAAAAAAGCCCAACACTTCATTATACAAAGCAGGGCAAAAAAGCAAGTTAGAAAAGTATGTCAAGTGTTCCATTACACAGAGACTCCCAGTTTAACTACTGCCTTAAAGCTATTTCGGCCAAGAAGTCTCGGTCTGAAATAGTCATAATTATTCCTCTGGCCTTGGCTAGAAAGAGGAAGCCCATTCTAATTGGCTGTTCATGCCAAATGCTAAGTACTGTAACAATTCAGGTATGTGCCTTCAATTGCTAGATGAGGAAATCAGCAAGACTGAAAGCAATTTAAGAAGGTCAGTAGTCATAAAGGGACAGGAATGAAGAAAACAAAACTATTTCTGCTCAATAAGGACTTACTTCAATAACATCAAGCAATAATAAACAAAGTAACTATCTGCCTCCACAAGATGAGATTAACATAAACCTTTAGCACAACTGAACATTCTCAGTGACAGTAAAGACTACTTTCAATAGAAAGCTCAATCGTTAATATCACATAGCTTTTAACAAAGATATATGTTTCCTACCTTATCCTTCCACCATTCTCAGCCTGAAAGCCAAGAACTAGGGAAACCAGATTTTTTAGAGCATAGAAAGACGTAAGAAGGGTATGCAAAACATTACCTTAGGAGTTTTCTACAACAGTCACATCACTGGGTTTTTTTCAAGGATGCCCCATGTATCTTAAAATTTTATTTGCAATTGGCCAATATGATCAACAGAATACATTTTGCTACCAGCTTAAAAAAAAGTCATGATGAAATTTAATCCTTTAAATTGGAGTGGGAAAACCTCTCTTGCATAATCTCTTTCTGAAATTGAGCTTCGCCTAAAGGAAAAAGTAAAAGGATATAAACAGGGAGGGGCAGGAAATACAGGCAATTAGAAATGGTAAATATGCAAAAGGAAACATGTAGAAAACTTGTTGACTGGAAAAGTCCACAAAGATTTGATTATAAATAATTTCCAGTGTAACATTAAAATGGAAAGTAATTGCCCAGAAATAAAAGCTAATTTCAGAAATCCTCTAGGGAATGAATAATCACTATAGAAAAAGACATGACTGTTTGTTAGAAAACATTGTTAGTACCAGTCAGTACTAGAAAATCATCTTTTGTTTTCATTGTTCCTTTCACCACCCAAACATTTACATCACCAACTCTCACAAAGAATCCAAACAGACAGAACAGAAATTAGGCCCCAAAACTGTGAAGACAAAGTGCTGTTTGCCTACCACATCAGACAGTGATTGCTAGTCTGTTGGACTAACAAGGACTTTTCACTATTGGATATACACCTTTTATATGGAAGGATTTTAATTATTGAGACATTCCTCACAAGAACTGAAGTTGTGTTTGGAACCCAACTAGGAAGTTAACTGAAGAGAACACCACAAGAGCTCAGTTAACATTAAACTGCTTTGCAGATAAGGTCCAACAGTGGCCAAGCTTTCCTTCTGGAACCATTCAATGGCCAAATTTGCTGAAAAACTTTGGGGAAATAAGCCAGTAAGGTTCTCTGACACTGTTCACACAGCATCTGACCATTAAAAGAGTTTCCTAATTTAGCCACATAAATGAAACAAAAAAAGCAATTTCTGGTGCTTTAAATTGCTGAGCAAAACTTATCCCATCCTACCTTCAAACTAATCAAGGTATATTATTTGGCTGTAACTTTTATGCGTCACAGTTTAACATTAGACTTTTCTGAATCAACTGCATAATAATATATTTTTGCAGATTATACTGCAATGGTTTTATATATTGTATTCTGCCAACAAAAGATTTCAATGAAAAAAAAAAAATAATCAGGATTTCAAAGGCCCTCTAAGTTTTCATTTCGCAACAAAGATAGACATTAATGCAAGACCATCACAGCATCTGTGACCATTAGCAATTCTTTCTAATGATGTGGGGGGAAAACAAGTAACTATGAGTTACAGAAGATGAAAGAATCACTTCATCATCTCTGGTGATCAGAATAGGCAAATTTCTTGAATAATCAGTCACACTGCTTTCCTCAGAAGGAAAATAAAACAGGGACAGCTGCAACCTCCAGGAACAAAACTCCCTGAAAACTTCACTCAAACTTCAACACCTGCAGCTCACCTATAAGTGGAATAGTTTGCTCTGTAGAGGCTTACAATTCTATGACTACACTAAACTTTCACAGCAAGGATCAGCTTCTCACTGCAGCCTGAAGGTGCCCTTAGTTTTGGAAGCAGACAAAAACTGCTGGATATGAAGCAATCACTTGTATCTTTACACCACAAGGTCACAGGTTTGGGGGTGTCTGCATACATGCACCTCTGCATTCCTTTTCAATTAAAAAACAGCATAAAAGAATACGTTTTAGAACATACGCAGTAAAGGCTGAAGGACCACTATAAAACTGCAATACTGTGTTTTGCACACTTGGTAGTGGACATAGCAACATTAATTTGCTTGTGGCATTCCTAAATTCGAGGCAGAGCCTTAAGAACATAAATTTTAAAAAGTCCTAATCCTATTTTCTTGAAAGGGCTAAGAGCCCTAAACCATGACCCAAAAATGGGCTTACTGAGAAAACGTGTTCACAATACTACAAATAGGATTACAGCTTACCTTGCAACAGTATTCAATTATTTTAATGGCCCTATCAACTGGCCCAAGAGAGGCTTCATTACAACTAGAGAAACTTGTGCAAACCCAAGACATTAAGGGATAGTTCCCCAGGAACTGCCCCAAAGTGGTTCTAGACTTTCTGAAGTAATTGTTTATGAGAGAGACTCTGGGATAATAGAATACACATTAACTGAAAACATTAACAGCCAAAAGGATTAAGAATTTAACACAATCCTCCTCTTGCCTAAGCCTGAGCTTTACAAAGACACCTTTATTCACTTAGAAACATCAATGGCAAATAAATGGCAAAATAAGCTCTGTCTACTTCAAGACATTCTAGTAATTTTGTCTTCTTGCCAGAAATATAGGCCATCTCTAACCAAAGCCAAAGTAGTTTCCTTCATGAAAGTCATCAGAGAAGATATACCTGACAAAGTTGTACCACCCTCAAAGGTTTAAAAAAAAAAAAAAAATATCAGAGAAGATATACCAGACAAAGTTGTACCACCCTCAAAGGTTCAAAAAAAAAAAAAAAAGAAAAGTGCTGTAACCAGTTACAAAGAAATCACAGAAACATGTAACCCTTATATAAAAGTGACAGCTGGGAAACCTTAATAGTTCTGATCAGAATCAAAGCAAGGCATTTGTTTGCAGGACTGAGGCTTAGATTAAAGTAGATGCAGGTAACACAACGACTGGACTCCAACAGTATTTGCATTAAAAATTAGATAGAAGTATGGTCTGTAATAGAAGGACTCGTGACAGTCATGAGAAAACACACTGCTCAGTGCAGTTGTTAACATGCTCTACTACCAAATGTTCTTCCATCATAAGCAATGCAAACCAACCTTGAAATGAAAGGAAACCCCTTTAGGCTTATCCTGGTATTCCCTTTCCCCTAGGCATCCCCAGCATCTCCCAGCCCTCATTTCCAAGTTTAAAAGCACCTGCACTTAAAGAATCGAGTTGGACACGCAGCATGATTTTAATTAAGGCCTGCAAGAATTTCAAGTGTAAGTTACTCTAGAAAAACAACTCCCTGACAAACTCATTGATGTCAAAATCCTTCTCTTCCCCCTTCCCCACAGGCTTTATGCCCAAAAAAGCACCAAGCACTGTCCCAGACCCCATGCCACAGCCAGCCAAAGACAGACAGAACAGGAATTAGACCCCAAAACTGTGAAGACAAAGTGCTGTTTGCCTACCACATCAGACAGGGATTGCTAGTCTGTTGGACAAACAAGGACTTTTTACTATTGGATATACACCTTTTTATGGAAGGATTTTAATTATCAAGGCAGACATTCCTCACAAGAACTGAAGTTGTGTTTGGAACCCAGCTAGGAAGTTAACTGAAGAGAACACCACAAGAGCTCAGTTAACATTAAACTGCTTTGCAGATAAGGTCCAACAGTGGCCAAGCTTTCCTTCTAGAACCATTCAATGGCCAAATTTGCTGAAAATTTTTCTGTGAGTCAGGAGGTCCTAAATTCGAATTTGCTGCGAATCAGGAGGCCCCAGACCTTTGCCCCGACACATCCTGCAGCCCCAGACAGCACCCAGAGATGCTCTGTTGTGCATCATCTCCACCCGCAGCTTCGCACACCTGAAGACAAGGCAGAAACATCCCTTCACCTGGGAAAGCAGGAGCAACACACACACAAAGGGGGAAAGGCACAGACACCGCAAGGCACAGACGCCGCGCGGCACAGGGCTCGCAGCAGGGAGCTCGCAGCTCCCGACCCCCCCCGAGCCGCTCACCTGGCAGGTACTCCGCCTCGAAGCGCCGCCTGGTCTCGTTTATCAGCGCGGCCTTATCCTGTCGCTGCTGGAAGGAAACAAGGAACGGGAGAGCCGTAAAAGGAAGGGCCAGGCCGCGGCCCGGGACAGCC